GCCCCGACGACTTTATTTCGCGTCGTCGTCGCCCCCCCCCCCCCCCCCCCCCCTCTCCCTCTCCTCAGCAGCCCAGCGCGCTGCCCCCTCCGCCCCGACCACTTTTTCGGCGTTGTGTCGACATGTGTCGCTATGTGTCGCTCCCCAGCACCCCAGCGCGCCCCTCCGCCCCGACGACTTTATTTCGGCGTCGTCGTCGCCCCCCCCCCCCCTCTCCCTCTCCTCAGCAGCCCAGCGCGCTGCCCCTCCGCCCGACCACTTTATTTCGTCGTCGTCGCCCCCCCCCGGTCCTTTTCCCCAGCAGCCCAGCGCACCGCCCTCTCCGCCCCGACCACTTTATTTCGGCGTCGTCGTCGCCCTATTTCGGCGTTGTGTCGACATGTGTCGCTTTCCCCAGCAGCCCAGCGCACCGCCCTCTCCGCCCCGACCACTTTATTTCGGCGTCGTCGTCGCCCTATTTCGGCGTTGTGTCGACATGTGTCGCTATGTGTCGCTCCCCAGCACCCCAGCGCACCGCCCCCTCCGCCCCGACGACTTTATTTCGGCGTCGTCGTCGCCCCCCCCCTCTCCCTCTCCTCAGCAGCCCAGCGCGCTGCCCCCTCCGCCCCGACCACTTTATTTCGGCGTCGTCGTCGCCCCCCTCCGGTCCTTTTCCCCAGCAGCCCAGCGCGCCGCCCCTCCGCTCCGCCCCGACCACTTTATTTCGGCGTCGTCGTCGCCCCCCCTCCCCCCCCCCCATCCCCCTCTTCCCGAGCAGCCCAGCGCGCCGCCCCCTTCGCCCCGACCACTTTCTTTCGGCGTCGTCGTCGCCCCCCCCCCCCTTCTCCCCAGCAGCCCAGCCCAGCGCACCGCCCCCTCCGCCCCGACCACTTTATTCTCTTGCACAGGGTGTCTAGAGCTCCGACCATTTTATTTCGCGTCGCTCCCCCCCCCCCCGCGTCCTCAGCGCCAGAGTGGGGCCCCCGCGCCGTGGCTCTCTGCCCCAAGCCCCCCCGCGTCCCCAGCGCCCCAGCGGGGGCCCCGCCCACTGCCCCCTCCGCCACGAACGCTTTATCCCGCGTCGCCCCCCCCGCCCCCCCGCGTCCCCAGCGCCAGTGTGAGGCCCCCGCGCCGTGGCTTTCTGCCCCGAGCCCACCGCGTCCCCAGCGCCCCAGCGGGGGCCCCGCCCACTGCCCCCTCCGCCACGAACGGTTTATCCCGCGTCGCACCTCCCCCCCCCCCCCCGCGTCCCCAGCGCCAGTGTGGGACCCCCGCGCCGTGGCTCTCTGCCCCAAGCCCCACCGCGTCCCCAGCGCCCCAGCGGGGCCCCCGCCCACTGCCCCCTCCGACACGAACGCTGTATTACGCGTCGCACCCCCCCCCTCCGCGTCCCCAGCGCCAGAGTGGGACCCCCGCGCCGTGGTTCTCTGCCCCGAGCCCCCCCGCGTCCCCAGCGCCCCAGCGGGGGCCCCGCCCACTGCCCCTTCCGCCACTAACGCTTCATCCCGCGTCGCGCCGCACACCACCTCCCCCACCTCCTCCCCGCGTCCCCAGCGCCCCAGTGGGGACTCCGCCCCGTGCCCCCTCCGCCCCGACAATTTTATTCCGCGTCGCGACGCACGCCACCTCCCCCCCTTCCCCCCCTTTTCCCCAGCGCCCCAGTTGGACCCCCGCCCCGTAGCCCTCTGCCCTAAGCCCCGCCCATGCCCCCTCCGCCCCGACAGTTTATTCCGCGTCGCGGCACACACACACACACACACACACACACACACACACACACACACACACACACACACACACACACCTCCTCCTCTCCGCGCCCCCAGCGCCCCAGTGGGACCTCCGCCCCGTGCTCCCTCCGCTCCGAGCACTTTATTCCGCGTCGCGACGCACGCCGCCTCCCCCACCCTCCCCACCTGGGACTTGGGCCCCGTTGCTTGGCCCAGAGGGCGATGCCTTGCCCCCTCTTCCCCCCTCCTCCTCCACCTCCTCCTCCTCCTCCTCCTCCTCCTCCTCCTCCTCCTCCTCCTCCTCCCCCTTCCTTTTTGTGCAAGGGCTATGGCACACGTGCCACTTGTTAAGGCAGGCAAGCAGAGAAAGCTGAGAGTCAAACACCTCTGAATACTGGTACCATCCTGTAGTGCCCTGCAGAGCAGAGTACTCCAGATTTCGTAAGAAAAGGGAGGGGGTCTGGACCCTCCAAGACAAGCCATTTCAGACCTCCCCCGTGGGAGAACCCTCCAAAACATCGTCCCCAGACCCCCCCAGGCCCTCCAAGATAGCCTGGAAGAGACCCCCCAAAAAATCAGACCCCCCTCCCTTCATTACGAAATCTAGAGTAGTGGTAGCTCAGCAATCCCTACACTAGTCCACTGTGGATCCCCGCCCGCCACTGTTGTGTAAGATAGCAACGGCATGCCTGCGCACCGCCTGCCGCCCCAAGTCTTCCCAGCGCTCGCAGACCCTTCTGGCCCCTCCTCCTCGTCCTCCTCCTCCTCCTCCTCCCCCCCTCCTCCTCCTCCTCCTCTCCTCCTCCTCCTCCTCCTCCTCCTCCTCCTCCTCCTCCTCCCCCTCTTCCTCCTCCTCCTACTCCTCCTCCTCCTCCTCCTCCTCCGTAGCCATTTTGGCTCAAGCCCCTGCTCCATGCTGCCCGGGTGGTCAATCTTTCTTGCCGTCTGGGTCGGTAGTACACTCCATAGTCGTACAAGTGTTGCATCTGGCTTCCCTTGCTGGAAATTTGCCGTATGCTTGGTGTTTTTTTGCTTGCTCCTTCTGCCAATGCTTCTTCCTGCTGGATGGGTGGGTACGCCGGCCGTGGTCCTGCCCCTTTCCACAGGGAATCATGCAGGGCTCCGATGGGCCGCTCGCGCTGACACTGTCTCTGGCCGTGGTCTGCGATCCTATATCGCCTCTGCTGCGAGCGGGAAGGCTTCTCGATAGGAGGAGGAGGAGGAGGAGGAGGAGGAATAAAAATGGGAGAGGGAGGAGGAGGAACCATCGCTCCGACAGGAGGAACCAACCCGCAGCCTCGAGTAGCAGCCATGCGTTGAGCCAGGCGTGTGTGGCTCGCCTCAGCAAGGCGGAAGCCACCCCGCGTCGCGTGCTCGGCACCAGCGGGGCCCATGAGCCATTGTCACCCGGGTGGGCCGTTGCCCCTGCACCTCTTTCTGCTCCTGCTCGCTTCGTCCCCGTCCATTTTTCTTCTCCTCCCTGCTCCTCGTCCCCCCCGTCCCTCCCTTCGCCCTCTCCTCCATCGCTCCCCGCCCTCCCCCTCCCGCCGCTTTCTCCTCCCACCCTCATACCCCCTATCCCCTTCCCCCCTTTCGCCCTCCCCCTTCTTCCCACTGCTGTTCCTCCCGCTCCGCTTCTGCTCTTCCCCACCCCCCTGGGGGAAACTAAGCGATAGTTGCCAGAGAACATAAAGACCCACCCTCATAGCAAGAACCCTGACCAGCGAAACCGTTTGGTAAGCGCACCAATGGGAAGAATCGAACAGGGCAAGGCTTCAGTAAACGCTCAGGGCTGTCAAGCAAACGCGACTTATGGGGGTCGGGGTGATTCTGAAGGGGCCCTGTGGCAGGCACACAAATACATACAAAGAACCGGATTCCCCATATTGTCCAGTAGTTTCTGGGTTTGTGCCTTCCCCCCCCCCACTTCCCATACTTTCCCATATTTTCTGGGGAAATCGGCGATGCATGGTGTCTGTGTGTTTTTGTTCCCCTCCTGATTCTTACCCCATTGACACGCGGCGTTGCCGCTCCCGGCCCGCGGTGACGAGCCTGGCCCCCCCCCGGGGGCCGGCTGCAGCCGCCTCGGCTCGCCCTCCCCTGACGTACACACTACGCCCTCCCGTCGCAGGTCCCCCCCCCAGGCTTCCAAAAGAGCCCCAGGAAGGGCTCCACAGAGCGTCGGCGCCGCCGCCGCCGCCGTCGCGCCCCCCCCCCCCTTCGGTGTCGGCGGCGCCGCCCGTGGTCCGTGCCCATGCAGCATCCCGGAGCGAGGCCAGCCGCGGCGACGGGGGCCCACCACGGGGCCCCGACGGGGCGCAGGCGAGGCAAGGGCAACGGGTAAAGGCACACGACGTTCGTCTCTGATCGCGCTCGTTTCTGCTGGTGCGCGCTTCTAAGTGCTCCTCGCAAAGAACTCAAAGAACTCTCAAATAATTCGCCCCACGGGTGCTCGTTTCTCGTTACTGGCCCCCTAGTGGCCAGGAACGAGCGCCCTGGTCGTTCGTTGTCACGGTGCTCCTGGGCCCCCCAGTGGCCAGGAAGAGGCCCAGGATAGAACCATTAGAAACGAAAGGATCTTGGCCCCCCTCCCAACAAAAACTCAGAGAACTCTCGAATAATGAGAAACGGCCGTGGACAAACCTCCCTTCAGTAAACCTCCCCTTAATGAAAACGGCCTGGGACCGAAACCGACGGACCTGGACCCGCAAAAATGACGGCCGCGACGCCCTCTCGCGAACCGAAAACGGCCAATTCCTTAATCGACGTGTCAGGGTAGGAGGTCTTTCCACCTCCGATAGAAATTATGACGACCGAGCAACACGCACCCATACCCATAGGGGGGACGGAGGAGGCTATGGGTGCGTGTTGTCGGATGGAGGTCCCCGCTCGAACGGGAGCTTCCCCCAGGGTCCGACAACTCGCACTCATAACCATAGCCAGTTCCCCTCCTTTCGACCCTCCTAATGGGTATGGGTGTGAGTTGTTCGCTCGTCGAATGAACAGTGTGTACTCCAGATTTCGTAATAAAATGGAGGGGGTCTGGACCCTCCAAGACAAGCCATTTCAGACCTCCCCCCGTGGGAGAACCCTCCAAAACATCGTCCCCAGACCACTCAGGCCCTCCAAGATAGCCTGGAAGAGACCCCCCCCGAAATGAAACCCCCCTCCCATTATTACGAAATGTGGAGTACCTCTTCCCCAGCCCCCCGGGTGCTGCTCCTCGGCGAGGGCGCTGGACGACAGACCATCCCGACGGCGGCCCCCCCCCCGCGGGGGGCGCCCGCGCGCCTCGGTGCTCCTCGAGGAGCTCCGGGACCTGCCGCGGGGGGAGCGGAGAGAGGGGGCGCGCGCGGGCGCCGGGAGGGGCGCGGGGGCGAAGGGCGCGCGAGGGGCGCGGGGGAGAAAAGGGCCCCCGCCCGCTTTCGTCGCGAAAGAGTCCCGGCGGGAGGTTTGGGGCTGCTTCTTGCTGTCCTCGGCGCCCCTCGATGAGCTCGGGGGCCTTCCCTGGGCCGGGTGGGGGGGGGCCAGGCGGAGGGGGCGCGTGTGGGGCGCACGTCGCGTTTTCCCATTCCCCCCTCGCCCTTGCTCAACCCATCCACCCCCGCCCCCCCACCACCTTCCCACATTCACCACTAACCCCCCCCCCCCTTCTATCCCCACGCGCACCTCCCCAATCACTCAATCTTCTGCCCTCCGTCCACACCCTTTCCTCCCAATCCCCTGTTCCCTCTGACACCCGCGAGACAACATTCGCGACGAGAACGATGACAGGTAACAAACTGGGAAACGCCACGAAAGGGCAGTTCGTCTTCCCTGGCTCCAGACTGGATCGCATGCGCGCTACTTCTCGGAATGCAAGAGGAAGGAGAGGAACAGGCTGGAAGAAGAGATGGGGAAATATGGAGGATGTGGGATGATGGGTGACGGGGAGGAAGCAAGAGAGAGAGGGAGAGAGAAAGAGCGAGGGAGGACACAAACAAATAGCGACCGATCGAGAGAACAACAGGCAAAAGCCAGCGAGCAAGCCTCAAGTCTAAAGGTGAGCAACTAGCAGACCTAAGCCAAGGACGGACATCGGCGTGGACTGAGCGGCCAACTCTCCTGCTTGGCTGCTGCACCGCAGCGGCGGGCAGCGCAGTCAGGGCCAGGGGGTCGGCAAAGATTCTGGCAAGCAGCCAGACACGGCCACCAAGTGGTTGTTATATGAAACAGGGGGAAGCACCTCTGGGACGAAACGCGCCACCGCCCCAGATACATGCAGCGACAGAACGGCCGGCGCGAGAGCGATCACCATGTCATTCGGGGCCACCGGACCCATCGGGGCTACAACGCTGCAGGCGGGGAATATTCGTCCTCGCGAGACCTCGCTGCCACCGGCTGCAACTGTCTCCATGGTCCAGGTCAGCTGCCGCGGTGGGCGACGAGTTGGCGGGCCCCCCCCCCCCCACGGCCGCAGCGCCGCACCCGCCCTGTGCATCGCCGTCCGGCTTGGCGCCGGGCGCGGGAGCAGAGCGTGGCCCAATGGGCCTGGCTGGGAGGCAAGCGGTCGCCTCGGGATGTGTGCCTCGCGCCGCGTCGGTGCCGCTGCGCGCCCGCGCTGCGGGCTTTATGGGGGGCGCGGGCAACGCCGCGGCAGGGCGCCTGCCACCCGTGGGGGCGACCCCTCCTCATGACAGTGCAGCAGGCGCACCCACTGCAGATCACAACTCTGCCGCGCGCCCCTCTGGACGATGGCCCCAAACGCGAAAGACTTCCAGGCCGTCGCAAGCAGGCCCGCGCCCGAAGCTGCCAGGAGAGGAGGCACCCCCCGCCCGCAGACGCCCAAAACGTGCGACAAAGAGAGGAAGGCAATTCAGGCGGCCCCACTGCACAGGCTACTTCCGCCGAGGCAGCCTCTGGGGAGTCGGAATGCGAGGCTGAATTCTTTGCAAGAAGGCAACATTGGCGCGCCGCCACTGGAGGTCAGTCAGCCCGCAGCGCCTGATGGCCCCACTTTGAACACCCTCGAAGTTCGACCCCGAAGCGGACGAAATCTTACAACTACGGCAGCGCCACAACTTCAGACCTGTGCTCGGTTGGCGACGGCATCGGGTCTGCGCCGACTTGGCTGGGCGCGGTGTTGGCAGTGCCGAGGCAACTAGCAGCGGCGCTAGCAGCGCTGCACTGGCCAGGAAAATCCAGGTGGCTCAATTTTCTTGGAGGCGCATGGCTCGGGCATCAATGGCAACTCGGGCTGCGCTGCTCCTGCGCCCCAGGCCCGGCGGAACAATCGACCCAAGGATTGGAAGGCAGATCGCGCGAATTCGACGTCAGCGCACCCGCTCGGGCCAGCGTCTGTTGGTCTATAACAAACTCTCCCCAATTCTCGGCACGCTTGCCGCGCGACGTCTCCAGGGCCGGCCTTCCGTGACAAAGGCTAGGAGATCACTGCAAACAGCTCGAAAATGGGGCGCGTGCTTGACAGAATTGACTCCGGCGTAACGCTCGGCATGCATGGGGCGCGGACTGCCGCCCTGGCCGGGGTCCGCGAATGGCCCCCCAAAGCAGGCCGCCCTGGGTCACCTCGACGGCCGGCCATCCACGCCAGAGCAGCTCCGGGCTCGCATTCGCAAGCTTGGGGCCATCTGCGCAGACGCGCGCCCCCCCTGGAGAGCCAGCGCCCCCCCCCCCCGCGGAAAACACGGCTAGCCAGGGCCTGCGCTGGGGGGGGGGCGGGGCTGGGAGGGGGCCCGCGAGCCAGCTCCAACGCCCCCCCCCTATATTTGTCGGCCCAAGGCATTCGCCCCTAGGGCCCTCGGGCGGCCCCCGCGCTCCAATGCTTCAGGCGAGAGGCGGTCGAGGTCGAGGTCCTCGGGAGGTCATGGGAGGACTGGGCAATCGCAGAGATAATGCCCCAGGGTGCCGGGAACCCCAGTCGGGCGCAGCTCGGTCGCTTCTGGGTCTCCGAGGCCCGCGGCCTGCTCGCGCGCGGAGGGGGGCAAAGGGCACCCCCGAAAAAGGCGCCTTGCAGAGCCCCCTCTCGATGGGGCCCGCAATGTCACGCATGCTGGCGCGCAGGTGCCTGCTCCATATCATCCACGTGCCAAGACCCTCAGGAGTGCGATTCATCATCTTAACCATCTACCACCTGCCAAATCCATGCTGCACTCTGCATTGAAATCAGCTGGCGGCCCCCTGATGGAATCGACGACGTCGCCTTCGTGCGCGACAGCGCAACGGGCGGCGGCCGCATCCAACCGACTCTTCGCAGGGGGAAAAAGACAGATACCATGGGGCCATGTCGCTTGGCCCAAGACAACTCTTCACCTATCGCCTGCACCAGATGCATCCGCGCCTCTTGCATGATCGCAAGTGGTGCCAGGCCGTCGCCGATGCTAGCGGCATCGTTGCGCGCCAGCGAGACTGTGGCGTCGGAGATCGGGCGCGGCACCTTTCCGACTGGGTCGCCAGCCAAGCCGTCGCACACGCATGCGGGCGCGCGCCAAAGAGGTGGCCATTCATGCCGCGCAGCTTTTTGAGCGCGCTGTCCACGCGCCCGCTGGCGCCAGCACGATGCGCAGCAGACGGCAAAATGGAAGCGCGCCAGTGCCCATAATTTTGGCTTAAGCTCGACGAACACGCGTGCGCAATTTCGCCCCCATGGTCCCCATGGCTGCCAAACTCTCGCGCTGTCGGGCTCGACGCAGTCAGGCTCGCGTCCGAGGTCCCGCGCGTGCGCGAGACACTTCAGCTGGGGCGCGCCTGCCGCGCATCGGACCGCCTTTCTGGCGCGGCGCGAGCGCGCGTAAGTTCCGCCCTCGACGCCGAGTCATGCCCGAACCGCGCCGCGGAAGAGCGGCTGGGCCTTCTCAGGCGACTCACCGAGCCGTTGGAAGCTGACGTCGCGCACGGTCGCTCGAAGGGCCACGTCATTGAAAAGCTTCTGAATTCGACCATGGAAGCGGAGAGGAGGTGGGCCATCGCACGCTTGTAAGCACCAAGCAGAGCTCCACGCAACCGATGCGAAGCCATCTGCCGCGACCATCGCGGGCGCCTGATAGCAGCTAAGCAGCGCTCGGAAGAGCCGAGGCGGGAAATGCAGATGCCTCGCGTGCCGGGGCAACGCGCTAAGCTCGATGCTATCGAAGCGCATGTGCATGCCGATGAGAATGCTGACAGACGGATAGCCACGAATTCTAATCATCCCCGCAGCAGGGTTGCGTTGAACGGCGGCGTCGGCACTCACTGAACCAGGTCGGGGGGCCCAGGAAGCACCCGCAAGGTAAGTCGACGCTCATTGCTTGGACATGGGGCGGCTCAACCGTTTCCAGATTCTGACCACAGCGCTAATATGTGCAATCAGCCGATGTCCTCTGTCAGGCTGGGTCAACCTCACGAGCCTGGTCTGCGCGCGTCGGTCTGGCCAGCAAAAGAAATGTCGCCGATGCGTTGGGGGCGCCGCCTCGCTCCGAGTCAGACGTCGGGCGCCGGCAGTTGATCTGCCCAAGAGCGGCGCGCGCATTAAATCCGCGTAACATCGCGTGCCCATTTTGACCAGATCGGCCCTCCGGCCTCTGCCGGTCATCAGGGCGATCCAGCCTTGGAGCGCAATGCGAAGGCGATATGGTAGACCATGCATCCCAGCAAGAGTTGGCCATCTGGCAGGGCCCGTGGTCATCTGCGTAGTTCGCGCGCGCGCCGTGGAATAGCGACTTGCCGCTCCGCCCCGCGCGGGCCGCTCCTCGACGCTGAACGCGCCGACTGCCTGAACTACTCGGCCCACTTCGGCCAGGGCCGCCGCCGCGTGCTGCTCGAAGCTGGGCCCGTGCATGGTCTGGCTGAGGCCTTCGGCGAAGTCGCGTTCCTTCGGCTTCTCCAAGCAAAACTCAAACCGCGCCATGTCTGGGGCGGAGATTCCGCGCGAGCTGGCAAGCAGCTCGCCCTCGCCGGCGCGCCCGGTGCGAATTTGTTCTTCGCGCGCAGAGGCGGTGCTCCAAAAAGAAAGCCGGTTTTGAATGACATGTCCGCGGCGCGAGCTCAGGGGCGCGCGCAAGTCTGCGCGGCGAAATGCTGCCCGAAAATGCCATCGAAAGCTGGCGATGGGGGGCGACGGGGCGGATGGGGGGGCGGGGGCGCAGCGAGCGCTGCGCGAAAAAAAAAAAACGACCCAGACGGCCACGTGCATAATCCAATGAATCTACGCGTGGATGAATATGTTTAAATACACATGTGTAAATGTGTGTTTACATCTACATATATATATATAGATGTATATATATATATGTAGATATATAAGTATTTACATGCATTCATACATACCCACATACACACATGAGA